TTGTTTTGAACACTCAAGTGGACTTGCGAGAGATCGACCTTTGAAAAGGGAGTGACTATTTCATTGTGAACATGTTAGCATGCTGATGTTGGAGCTTGTGCTCAAGGGCAAATGACCACAACTATTAGTTGAAATGTAGCAAAAGCTCTTTATGTTTTTTTTCCTAATCGTATTTCCAGAACAGATTACTTTCTTTTTTGGAGGTTTCTTGGACTTGAATGTTGAATTAAATACTCAAGATTTAGGACTTGGAATCCAGGGTTGGTGACTAAACTATAACATAAGTTGTTTATGGACTCATCGTTAATCTGGTTAATAAAGGGGTGGAGGGCACTGCCTCATGGGGGATGTACTGTATGCTCCCCTGTGAGAAGAGTCCAGGAGACTAGGAAACATATTTTATACTGTTTGTCATGCACATGATGACTGAACCAATGGTGGAGGTAATGTGAGACTGAGTGAAAGTGTCCTTACACATTTGGTTCAGATTTGAACTTGTTTAATCTGTAAAATGTGTGAAATTAAGGAAACTTGTAAAACAGTGAACACCCTGCATTTCCCTCTGTTTTCTACCCTCAGCCTTTCTTTTGTGTGTGTGTGTTTCTGTGTTTCCAGATTCCCAGGGCTAGTATATCTAATGGATATCCATCCTAGTTTTACTGGCAGGCAGATCGTGGTTGGCTTTTTGACAGTTTGTGTCTGAGCTTCATTTCATGTCCAGATGTTTCCACCCTGCCCACACGCCATCTCACAATGACCAGAGTACAATCCTCATAAACCAAACACATCGTGAGAGCGGGTGGGCTGTGTCATTGAATGACAACCAGCACATGATCAGTTGTTTACACTTGGAGAGAAACTAATGGGGAATGACACGTGTTTATGTCCACTGTAAGGAAACCTGTTGCGTGTGAAGTATATGAGCAGTAGAACAAAAAAGTCCTTGTATGTTGATGAAGTTCAGACTTCATTACACTAAAGACTGTCATGCTTAGGTTCAAGATAGAGGAAAAAATGTCAAGTGACAAAAACAATTTACTTTAATAGCTGCACTAGTCAACATTTTTATATTAAAGGTCAGTGTAACCTAGCAGTACAGTTGCAGATTGCATCTCTCTCGCTCCACTTTCCCCTTTAAAGTGCTAAGAAGAAACTATGGTGGATGCAAAACAAACAAAAAACGGCCAGTGCCAGTACAAAATTACTCTGCAGTTCCCTCAGCTCATTGTTTTAGATTTACTTTATTGTTCGCTCTCACTCACTGCCCACATCAACCTTGATTCCAGTTGCAGCAAGTAGCTGTTAAAAGTTAACACTGTTAAAATATTAAAAGGCCTGAAGAACTCCCTGTACGCCACCTGTCCAGCACCAGCATCAAGCAGCAAAGTTAGCGACCAGCTGAGAACATAGTGGTGAATACAGCTAAGTTAAAGACACAGTTATGCCATGGCAATGGTTTCTCCACATGTTGAAGTGGTGTGAATGAGGCTTGAGAGCAATTCTCTAATACTAAGACCAAGAAGCATATCATTATCATATAAAATGAAAGTTGCCCGAGATACATCATGTTTGGCAAATGGGTTAGTCCTCATCCTAAAAGCCTTTTCTCTCAGTTTAAGGTTTGCAATCAAATTTTAAAAACCCTAAATCTAAATTACTGTAAGATATGTGACAGAATTGATGATGGGGAATGGTGAATGGTGGACATTTTCAGCATGTCTGAGAACCAAATGCTGTTTCCTGAGATGAAACAAATGCAGGCCAGAGCCCAGAAACAACCACGCCTGCTCCCTTAACCCCTTAACCGGTGTCAAATGAACATGTGAGTGCACACACACATGCACACACACAGTACACACACAACCAGAGGGCATCTCATGTCATAAACTGTGCATGTCAAAAAATGTCATTTCCTGACAAATATACTTCTACTGTTCCACTGAAGCCCCCTCCTTTCCTGTTCCTCTTCCGATTGTAAGGTACATCCTAACGGTTCACACGTGAACGATCTCAACACTTTTACACGCAGATACACTCACAGATATTATTTGTGCTGTTGCCTGAGGGCAGCAGTAGTGATTTTGAGTTCCCCTCTCCTTACCCCCCCTCCCTCTCTTCTAATCTCCATTTTCCCTAATCCACATTTACTTTTTTCCTCTGAGGTATGAGATCAGCCTTTTCTTTCCCTCTGCTTCTCTTTTTCTTCATTTCTTTTACTTCTTGAATTTCATTTCCATGTAGATTACCTTTCCTCCTCCACCACTTGTCTACATATTTATCCTTGCTTACTTTTCCTTAGTGCTTGCCTGTCCCCAGTATATACCTAAGGTTCCTGTCCGCCTTAACATAACACACGTGTCTTCGGTTATAAGCATAAAGACACAGCTGCTGGAGGTAGCCTATCTTGGTAGCAACACTGGGTCAGCGTTGGTGTACCAAAGTGTGTGTGCTGTGGTTTTTGGTAAATGTTAAATTGTACATCACAGTGCAATGTGTCCTTAAAAACTAATTTTCAAGGTGACAGTTGCTTCACAGCACTTAAACTGCTCAGACAGTGAGCTGAAATCTACACTGTGCATAATGACGTCCTAAGCAGAATGTAAATTGTCTCTCAAACAGGGTCTGAGCTGCCTGGGGAACATGTTCTTTTACAATATTATTTTCTGAAAGGCATTTCAAACTCTTAACTGAAATTACAAATTTTTCTGGTGTATATCTTTGTGTGTACGCACATGTGCATCCATTGTAAATGTTAGGTTTGAGTATTGCTCAGAATTCAGCCCTCTCTCATGCCTGTTTATGGTCAAAGTATGCTAGCACGGTCTCTCAGAGCACAGCCATGGGATGTGGGAAGAAGGAGAGGGACTGATTGAGTGATTTAGAGAAAGAAAAAAATTTAACTTTCCTATATGTCACTTTATCACAGTTCCTCCAGATTTGCCCCATGTGACTTACATATTACTTTACTGCACATTTCATTAGACTGTTTAAACTTTGCATCAGTGCATAAACAACATGTTGCTGTTTTAACTGATTTTGTTTATTTGTCTGACTTTTCTCAAATCTTTGATTTTTTTTTCTACTATTTTATAAAATGTGCCTCAAACAGTTATGAAACCATGTGAGAAGTTTAGAAGGGAATTCTCGCATTACTGGAACTGCTAATGACTCATAGACACCTGAAACGTCTCAAGAGGCTTGAACCACATCGACTGACGTTTTGTAAGGGGCCACAAGCCCATAAAGGTTGTGAATTACTGGTTTAACAACTGTTTTTAACAATTCAAATATACTATGTTTTATAAGTTTATTAGTTTTTTAAGGAAAACTTTAAAGGACCAGTATGTAGGATTCCGTGACATTCAGATTGCAACTAACTGAACACTGCTAGTATCTGGGTGACCTGGGAATGAGAACTACAGTGGCTACTACTTGTAAAAAGCACAAAAGCCCCAATCTACAACCAGTGTTTGTCCGTTCTGGGCAACTGTAGAAACATGGTGGTCCAACATGGAAGACTCCATGGAAGGCGACCTGCAGCATCTGTAGATATAACAAAAACACAACAATTCCTATAATCAAATCATACTAATACATACCTATGAATGAATATTATATTCCATTTCTGCCCCCCTTGTCAAATAATGTGAAAACACCTCTGACAACTTATAGCATAGATACAAGCCAGTAAAGTCCAGCTCCAACACAGATAACATAAACATAAGAAAAACACATTTTTGACAGGAGGGGATCTATAAGTTCAGCAGTTCAGTTTATCTCCTTAGTTACTGTCCACCACTAGTGACCATCAACAGCTCAGACCTGGGGACTACATGAAAGCTGTCTTCATGCCAAGCAAAAAGCTTACTAACCAATCTTTTCACTGAACACACACAAAGACAAATGAATCAACCAACAAACTCCCGGTAGGACAGCAAACAAACTGAACTGTAAAATGCTAAAATTATAATATTCTAGGGGTAAGTAACTTTCCCGTAATAGCCTAATAAAACAGTTAAATAAGGTTCACAAGAAAAGTATATAAAGCTCTCTCTCTCTCTCTCTCTCTCTCTCTCTCTCTCTCAATTTTATTTTTTATTTTTTCATCATTGGCATGATGTTTTAAATCAAACATTTTGCCAAAGCAAGAAGTCACATATAGAATATAAATACAACTTATACAATTAAATAAATATTAATATTACAATGAAATAAAAGAAAAGAAATGAAAATAAAAGAAAAGAAAGGAAAGTATCCTTCACTGAAATAATTCTTTGTAACATATTCTCCTGCCAGTTCTACTGTCGTGTTGTCATCTCCCATGAGGGTTTGAATTTTTGAATTAGTTGGCCTTTTGGGAAGGTTGGGATTTTCTGAGGAAAAAGTTTTCTCTAATTTGTTTGTATTTTGGACAACTTGTGAGAAAATGAATTTTGGTTTCAACTTCTGTTTCACAATGTGTATAAATTATCATTGTTCTTTCAAGTCATTTTTTTTATGGCGCCCAGTTTCAATAGCGACTTTGTGGTCACTAAGTCTATATCTAGTTTATCTCTCTCTCTCTCTCTCTCACACACACACACACACACACACACACACACACACATTCAGTAAATTACATGCAGGCTAGTCCCTGTGTCATCACTTGGTAATCAACTACAGTTAATTCTCCCCCCGATCCCTCTGCACTTGTTCTTTGTCCTTTAATAACTGAGACAGAGGGTGTCTCCTGATATTATGAAGGAACAGGTCCCAGTGAGCTGCAGTTTCAGCAGAAAGTAGAGAGAAATCTTTTTTGGCAGATAATGCAGGGAGGAACCTCTAGAGCT